AATGCTGCCTCTTTCTGTCTTTAAGTCCCGCCTCAGATTCTACCTCTTTGACCATGCTTGTTGCCACCTCCTATTTTCCCAAATCCTTCTTCCTTGCTCAATGACCTGTGAAGTGTTCTGAGGTGCTGCCTGGATTAAGGGTGTTTGTAAATGCAAAATACTGTTATTGCATTCTGTTTCAAACCTTTTGGTAGCACTCATCCAAAGTCCATTTCTTCCTCCTCCAGCCTGGTGATGGATTGCTACGTCTAGAGGCATTTTCCTGCACTTTTCAGCATTTGAGCATTTCAGCTTTCAGTGACTATGCCCCTAATCTCTGGAGCTCCCTCCCTCCATCCTTCCAATCTGTGCCCTCTCTATCGGTCTTTAAATCCCACTTAAAAACCGACTGCTTCAACATTGCCTATGGACACCTTCCTCTTTCCCTTTCCTTTGCACAGTGTCCGACCCTGTCTTTGAGAAATGATCCAAGATGTTATCATGTTTCAAAAGTGATGTGAAAAATGTAAGTTGTTGTTCTTGTAACTTGAGCTGTAAACTCAATGTAAGGTTATTACAAGACTGAAAATTCCTTCATGGTTTTGTAATGTACTGCCATTTGCTGTTTATCCTCAAAAAAGCTCACATTCACGTGCAACAGAATCGTATTTCTCATTTGATATAGCGCCTTATCACATCCTGAAGACGTCTCAAAGTGCTTCACAGAATCTACGATAAAGTGAAGTTACTGTGTATTTTGTGGTCAAAACTCAGCAGCCAATTGCGCGCAGCAGTGTCCCACAAACATTTGTGGATTGAGTAAATCAAACCCAGATCCTTGCGAGGCGAGCGCTCTAACCATTATGCTACAGGACTCCAGAAACCATGTATCCACATATTGACCTATTCTCATCAGGTTCTGGTGTGGAAGTGCGATGCTGGTAAAAAAAATACAATTATGCGCATAACCATGAGATAATGTATGATTATACCATGTGATCTGACCTGCAAGGATATTGAATTCTAATTTGCTAAACAACACAGGAGCCCTTTCATCGAAGTTTACATTCTGGAGCATCTCAGCCATCGTCTAATGGTAAATATTTGTTCTCTGCTACCATCTAGTGTGTTTTTGTGATATTACATCCAACTTGATCATCTCTGTTGCTGCAATTCATGCTCTGCATAGGGAGAACTCATAAGCCATTAGATTATTTAATTTGTCTCATGCTTTTTGTGGTGTACAGTTCTTGAGAGCAGCTGAAAGAAAAGCACAGCTAAAGAGAATATTTTTTTCTCCATCCCTCCCACCAATTCATGAATCCAGTTACATAAATATCTCAATTACATAATTGGGGTCTCGCCCCAGCTCCACTGCAGCTCATTAGTATAGTGTAGCACCCTCAAACCTCTGGCGCGGGGGTGGGGTTGGGGGGGGTTACATGCAGCAGGCCTGAGCTAGCCGAGAGGAAGGGGCGAGCAGATGAGTGGGGTAGGAGAAGATCAGATGGATAGGGAAGTCCTGGGGGGGTGAAAAGATTTATAGGTGATTGATGAGGACCTCATTTTTGTCACAGACTGACTTCTGTAACCAACTGTTAAGCTGCATTTAATTTTATTCAAAAGGCTAGGATGCAATTAAAAAGCGTAAACTAAAAAAAAATCTGAGTCCTGCAGATGAGGGCTCCTTCTGGTAACAGAAAGCACATCACAGAGACCCATAGGATATCTGCTCTGACCCAACCTACATTTACAATTACCATGGCCACAGCAGTTCGAGTAAGATTCCTAGGAATCTCCACCCCTGCACCCTCCCCACCTCCCCATACACACACAGAGAAAGACAGAAGTGCACAAAACCTTTTTTGGGTCAGTCAGTTAATCCAGAGATCCATCACCATGCTCAAGAGCATCCAAGTCAGAGAAACAGCCTCACGTAAGTACGCATTCCATTGACTTGGTGCACAAATGTCTGCGGTCTCAATGCAAAAGGACAAAAGACAAGCGCAAGAATGCTCACGTACTGTCACGGAAGTTAAACAGTGACAAGGCAACAAGTTTCAGATTACATAGAATATACAGGACAGAAACAGGCCGCTCGGCCCAACAAGTGCGCTCGTGTTTATATTCTTCACCCATTGATTACTTCCTCCCACACCTTCTATTCCCCTCCCTCATGTGAAGGGCTAGCTTCTTCTTAAATGCATCCACACTATCTGATTCAGCCAACTTCAGGCTGTGAGTTCCACAATCTCACCACCATCTGGTGAAGTCGATCGTCCTAAATTCTCGTTAGATCTAGACACTATATTATATTTGTGTCCCCTGGTTATGCACTCCTCAAGCAGTGGAAATAGCCTATTTACGTTAACCTTATCGAACCCTTCAAACACTGTTATTAGGTCCCCCGTTAAATGTCCCTGCTCTAGCAAAAAAAGGTCAAACCTATCCAACCTATTCTGATAAGAGATAACCTGAGAGCAGTACTCTTTCCATTTGCTACTAAATACGTCTTATAGTATGGAGAACAGAATTGGACACAATATTCCAAATGTGGTATAAATTTAACATCATCTTCTCACTTTTATATTTTATCTCTCTGGATATAAAGCCCAAGACCAAATAGGCCTTTTTATTGCCTTACATTATTATTACTATTACTATTATTACCAGTGTGGTTACTTTTAGAGATTTGTAGATGTGAATCCCCAGATCTCTTTGCTCCTCTACTCCTCCTAGGTTCCTACCATCTAGACCAGTGGTGGCCAACCAAACAAAATAATTATAGAAATAACAAAATAGCATAAATTTAGGCCATAAATCAAGAAATATTCAACCACGAAACATTTATTTTGTTGGCCAACCAAATCCTATACTGAATCCAAATCATTTATGTATATGGTGAATAGCAGGGTCTAATATGGATCATTTTGGATCAATATAGATCATTGGTCTATCCAGCATAAATCCTGTTTCCCAACTGGAACTTTCCAAAAGATTCCTGCAACACATCTGTTTCATCACCTAATAGTCCTGAATCGTTGAATAACCCGAAACTAGTTCCCTTTAGAAAGCCTTTCATAGAACCACAGAAATTTACAGTGCAGAAGAAGGGCGTTCGCCCTATTGAGTGTCTTGTAACTTAGTGTTTAGAGCACTCGCCTCACAAGCAAGAGGACCTGGGTTTGATTCCTGGGCAGGGCGAAACATTGTGTATACTCCATGCACTTCTGTTTACCTAGCAGTAAGTAGAAACTTGGTTGTTAGTTGATTGGCAGATCGCTTTTCTAGGGTCGAGTAATCATTCAAAATAAATAAATAAATAAATAAATAATAGTTTGGTCACTCAATCCACAACTGTTTGCGGGACATTGATGTGCGCAACTGGCTGTCGGGTTTCCCACACAAAATATACAATCAATCACTTTCCAGTATATTCTGGGAAGCGCTTTGAGACATCTCAAAGATGTGATCTTGCAAGGATTATTATTATTATTATCGAGTCTGCAGTAGTTCTCGTAGCAAGCTGTTGGAAACAGCTCTGAGATGCTAACCGGTGAAAAGCGTTACATAAATGCAAGTTGTTGTTCATTTAATCCCACTTCTTCACCCTATCCCTGTAACCCCTTCAAGCTCCTCTCCTTCCATGTCTATTTATCTACTTCTCTCTTGAAATCCACAATAGACTCTGCCTCGACCACCTTAATTGGCAGGGCAATTCACATCCTAATAACTCTCTGTGTAAAACGTATTCTCCTAAGATCTCCTTTTGTTCTGCTTGGTAACACCTTAATTCTATGTCCTCTACTCACTGACTCCCCTACGAGTGGAATTAGCTTCTCCCTATTTACTGACAAAACTCTTTCAAAACTCAGTGATTAGTGTAACGTAGTATGGGTGAGTCAGTTTTAAGTGTGAGCTGCCAAGTGGGGAGATGGAATTCCAGTGACAAACAGGAAATATGTAAATTACAACAGCTTGCCTTTGGCTATGTCACTCCTAAACACAGAACATGTTTTCGATTTACCAAACTCTCAAAACGTTGCACTTAACCTTTTGGTGTACAATGCATTTTCCAATTCATCTTCATAAACCAGAGCCACTGCAGTCTCAACCAATCACTGGTAATACTTCTGTTATTTTCAATAAGCTGATGATATGTGCAGCTTGTTTTGATGTCTTAAGACTTAAGCAACAAACCCATCTCTCATACCCATCAAATGCATTTCCTATCAATTGAATTACAATATGGTAATCCTGTACATAAAACCAGCAGGCTGTGCAGCAATGCACTTTCCTCTTAGACTCCACATACAAGCGCCAGATGTGGACGAAACCTTCAAACAAATAGCATCAATACAAAGCAAAGATCAAGAAAAAAATTATCAGATCATTAAAATACAAGAAGCATTTATAAAAAAAACACTACACCCCTGTTCTGTTTAAATTATGCACATTTGAAAGGGATCTGGACCAGTACTTGACTCAAATCATATTGAAATAGTATGGGGGAAAAAGCAAGAAGTGGAATGAGAGTATATAATGCCAGTTGAGGATCTGGCACAAGCACAGCCCCAATAGGCTGAATTGGTTTTCTGTGCTGCAAATTTGCTACTATTCTTCCTTCTCCTCTCTATAGTTCGCTGGGACAGGTGTAATTCATAAAATCACAAGATTGGTTTGGATCAAAAAGACCCTTCGGCGCATTTGATCTCATCCTCCCAGAATACCCACCTTACTGTCTTCACACCACATCCAGATCAAGCAATGTTTTCTTTTAAATGAGTCTAGTGTCCTGCTCTTGCTGACAAACAACACAACTGGGAGGCTGGACTGACACCACCACCACACACACACACACACACACACACACTTCAGGAATCACCACAAGATCAAATCAAAGGTACAAACCCAATGTCCTGCACACAGCATAAAAACGGCATCACTTCTGCACAGTCTTGATCTTATACTGAACAATAACACAATCTATTTTATTCCAAACGACCGTAAGAGTCACTCACCTGTAAAGTTTGTCCTAGTAATGGGTGTCTGGTTACAGATTGGTGAGCGCCTGAATCATTAAAAATAAAATGAGAAAGTTAGTGTTTCGATAACAGAAGTCCCACATCCTCATGTTCAGAGGCTCAACAAAACCTTCCCCCTGATGGGGTTGCTGGGCTTACGGTATTCACATGCCAGCGTGAGCTTCATAACAACAACTTGCATTTAGATACCCTTCACACAGGCTAATGTGCCCTGAGGAAATGGACACTGTGTAAGCTCTGAGGGATCCAAGCTTTTTTATTCAAGCCTTGGCTTTCAAGAAAGTTGAACTTTGAGCAATCTTCTGCAGTCCTACTTTCTAACCTGAGTAATGCATTTTCTGTGGCAAACCAAATGTAAATGAATCCAGTTGTTATGTTTAATTTGATGCCTTTGAATATTTCAGTATCATTGTTGGAGAGAATCATGAAATTGTACCGTTGGAGGGTTGCCAATACAAATAGTATTGTAATAATAATCTTTGCCATTTGACATTTTGCCTAATGTCGAAACGACTCAAAATACTTCACAGGAACTTTGTTGTTTAATGACTTTATTTGTAGACAATCACAGCAGCCAATTTGGACTCAGTAAAGTCCACGAACAACCATGAAGTGAATGATCAATGTATCTTTCAGGAAGGGTGAAAGGTGACTGCAGTCACGAGTCAGGCTAACTTCCACAGTGGGTAAAACTTCGAAAGCCACAAAAGGGATAACATTAATAATCATTCAGAGAGGCATGGATTAGAGACTAACTATTTTGAACTGTGTTCAAACTTGCATCTAAGGTGATCTGATCATTCTGTATCAGGTACGAAAACATGAGCCGCTAGAAATCTAGCAATCCTCGGGAACATGCAGTGAAAATTCAAGTAACTGTATGGCAAATTGCACGTGTTAATCTAGGTTTCACCACCAGAGGTCTCTGTGTTACATGAAATGATACAGCTGTACTAATTACTGCATATTGTTTAATTTTATGGTAGTTTTCTCTCTGATGTGCCTCTCAGACCCTCACGGACACTGGTGGCATGGTGGGTTAAGACTTCAATCACTTCTGATTCTTGGGTCTGAATGCAGCCCAGACAGATGGGATGTAAGTCTCCTCTGTCTGTCAGCCTACGTGAAAATGGGCTGACAAGAACTGACACTTAATCCAGCACGAGATCACCAACATCTCACCATTCAGACAGGCTACAGGACGGCTAATGTGGGAAGTGAAAATTACAGCAATGGAGCAGAACAGGGTTAGATGATTTTCTGAGGCCAGGATCTCAAACATTTGTGTTTAACTGTGTTTATAACCCTGGACATATCCTGGGAGTGCTTAATACTGATCCTGCGGTTCATTATGCATTGATTGCAGAAAACAGTGAACGTATATTATAGGAAACACAATAATCAAAATGGTATTAACATAACCCCTTGTAAAGGGTGGGAAGTGGATTCTTACTGAGCTAGTGACATGGCTGCCAATGGAATCGAATCGACCTTCTGTAGCGATCTTGGAAGTCAGGTTCCTGAGCCAGTCTGGTTCCAAAGCATTGCTGGTCCCTCAACCTTCTTTGTTCTAATGATTTTGAGCCCAGTTCCTCTAGTTTCAGAGCATAGTTTCAGCATCTCCTCTGCACGCTCTTTATGGCCCTGACATCCTTCCTAAAGTGGTGTGACCAAAAACTGGACACAATACTCTCCGTCACCTTCTCTCTCCCCACCCCCCTTGGCTCCCACCCCCAGCTCAGGTGCCCAGCAAGCAGTGTAAAACAATTTGAGGTGTCCTTTTAATGTAAAAGGAACTAATATTAAATGTAAATTTGTATTGAATTGATCGAGATTAAGCATGGTCTCTTTGATTTTATATTTTATGCCACTATTTATAAAACCTAGGATCCCATTAGCTTCCTTCACAGCTTTGTCCACCCACTATGCCACCTTTAAATCACCACTTTAATAACCAATGTGTAATAGACCCCACATGGTGTGCGAAATGGGCACTTTTTTTTCACACAGCATTAACATTCTTCATTGGGTCATGGAAGTCACGAGGGAACGAGCTAACTATGGTACCAGGCAAAGAAATCCATTGAGAGTTGTGAGCCAGATGGAGTCGAAATTCTGTGAAGCATATATGTGCAGCCCCATTGGTGATGTGGGATTTCCTATTATAACAACGCTTTGCCAAAGGTGAATGGAATTTTTACCCTACAGAGTCTTGGAGGATAATTTATTTACTGTTATTTTGGAAGCAGCCAGGTGATGTTTTCTGATTCTGTACATCCCTACTCTCCTCACCTTGCTGGGTACCAAAGATAATTTTAAAAAAGTGTTATAACACAAAAGTTCTCAGGTTTTTCTCGACCTGTGAATATTGCCACCCACTGATGCCACAGCACAAAGCACTCTTACTTGCTACTGGACGCTAGATCTTGCAGGTTGGTCAGTGCAGCAAAGTTGTTCCTTACAGTGCGCAGGCTGGCTAGCACCTATAGAGACACAAATGTACATGTTTAGATACCAAGGAAACAAACACAGTTGATTAGCACTCTGTCAATTAGAATAACTGGAACATAAAGAGAGATTACTCCTGGCCAAGTGTTTGCTATCTCATTGAGGCTGGTGCTCGGGAAATGTGGATTTGTGTTGTATAGCTGCAGTTGAATCAGACCTCAGATTTTCACACTGTATTCTTCAATTCTCCCACCCTGCGCTGAAGTGGATCTTTCTAACATCTCCAGGAACAGATCCATGACAGCAAGTGAAATAGGTTCCCAAGAGTGCATTGGTCATTCCCCAGCCACCCAGGACAGGACAGAAATGAAGGTTTGCTCAATGTTCCTCAGACATGGGGGTTGGTGTACGTTCAGATGCAAACGGTTATGAGGAGTGACTCAGAAAGAACTGTGGAGGCTTGCGTTCACACGCTATGCTCAGTTTTGGGTTCACATGTGTTGCTCAGTTTACAACAACAAATTCAATTTGTACCGCACCTTTCACGTCGGGAGGATGTCCAAAGGCCCTGGACAGTCAAGGATTTGGAACCAAATTGGGGTTGGGATCAGGAGCGCAGGGAGGGTAGACATAGAAGGGTGACTGAGGGCACGATTGAAGAACAGGCTCTTGAGATGTGCCTTGAAGGAGGCAAAGGAGGGAGTGAGGTGAAGGGACTGTGGGATGGATTTCCAAAGGTTGGAGGCAGAAAGGCTGAAACCCTGACAGTGATGGTGGGTTTTTATATACAAATTGATACAGATTGCATTCATATAGTGCCTTTCACCAGGAGGACGTCCCATGATGCTGAACTGTCAAGGGTTTGCACCAGAGCTGGAGTTTGGAGTCAAGAGGGGTGGAGGGCAAGGGGGCTGGAGGTGGGAATGTGTTAATGGAGCCCCTTGGATATTCAACCCTCAAACTGAACAAGATGGATTCCAGGCAACAGCAGCCTCAGGGTAAGCAAGACCCAGTTCTACCAGAATAGTTTCTCAAGTTGTCTGTAGGTTAAACAAAGCTTTTGCCAAACTTGAAAAACATGATTCTGCTCACAATTCTGTGTCACGGATTTTACATCACCCATGACCTATTTGAGAGTGTAAGTTCATGCGTGGAACTTAAGTCCTACTTACTGCAGAGACAAGCACTCCAAACTATGCTGTAACTTTCTATGGTTTACAGATGGTTTGCAGAACCACTGACAATGAACAAATTGTAACACCTCGTAGAGCTCTCTGATAAAGTGCAGCCTCCAATGGAATGTGTGTGGTTTATGGATCTCGTTAACAAACCACATGCACCTTCTCCGGAACACACATTACTCAATAAGACATGTCTTTGTGCGGCTCCTAAAAAAAAACCTTAGGAATAAGACCTGCCGCAAAAACTAAACCAGGAATCAAGCCTGTATTCTAAACCGAAATACATCTGTCTCCCAGATGTTTAAAATAATTCTCTGTCCACATCTCTTAACAACTTTCCTTACGCGGAAGATAGCATAAGTGTCAAACACAGCCTCTTGATGCACTGACATTTGTTTGGATTAAATTGAAAGATATGTTACAGGCTTGTTTGTATTCAAACTGGTACTTGGGCAAGAATCCTCCCATGTGGAAATGTGATCAGCAAGATTAAAACATGCAAGAAGGTGGACCAGAACCTACCTGCGCAAATGGGGTCACAATAAGGTCATCTCCATGGCTGTAAAATAGAAACATAGCAACAATTATATTTAATATTTTATCAAGGGTGTTTAGACATGCCTCACAAAGCTATTGAGAAAAGCTAACACCTTTGTTAAAGGCAACGTCATTGAACATTTCTGGATAAGCAGTGGCCTTGCTATTTGTGAATGAGCCCAAGCAAACCTCCGGGGTGCATAGGCAGCCACGTCATCGACTAGTAGCACAGGAGCATCACTGTCATCTGAAGACAATGAGAGCTCAGCTGAGGGGCTGACATGACCGCTTTTTCTGGTGCATTAGAAAGGAGTAGTGTCTCTCTCTCTCTCTCTCTCTCTCAGCACTTTCAACGCTTAAATATATGCAGGAGGAAGCAAGGATAGGATCACATTGACCACAATGTCCATCACTACAGGGTCTTGATTTACATTTTAACACAAACGCAGATACGGATACAACAGTCACATAGAAAGGGGCTCAGAGTACAACACATATGCATCTGTTGCAGCAAAAACATGCTGGAGCAGACAACATAGACATTATCATAGAGCAGCCTGTTCTGGCAACTAAATTGCCTGAAACACTCCCAATACGACAACACTGCTTTTATGGATATTTTGTCTACTTGAACCCGTGCCCATTGCAATCACTTAGGAGTGTCTCATTGGTCTGTTTCAAAAACGTTCAACATTTGCGGAAGGAAAATAAAGCGTTGACCTGAAGTTTAACAGGTTACAAATTATTCACTGTGATTCGTATTTTAATTTATGGTTTTAATCTATTTGATTTTCACCTTTCATTTGAGGTCAGATGCTACTACTTTGCAATAAGGTGCTATCTTGCTGTTCCCTGTAGAGCAGCCTGTGCAATTGACCTGTGACATCCAGAGATGCCAGGTGTCCTCAGCACCAAGTCAGAGCCTTGTTTCATTGTCAAAAAAAATCCCTGACCTTCAATCACACCGAACAAAAAGCTCAAGAGGAGGCAAGAAAGATACAGAAAAGAATCAGAAGCAGGCAGTGCAGAACAATAGACTAATATAATACAATAATCTTTGCATTTGATATAGCATCTATTACATCACCGAGACATCTCACAGGATCTTACTGTGAAGTGTAATGACTGTATATTTGTAGCCAAACAAGCAGATAATTTGCACACAGCAATATCCCACAAGAAGTCATAATATGAATGATCAATTTTATTTGGACGATTGTTGGCTAGGGCACTATGAGAAACTCTCTTCTCTTTTCAAATAGCGCCATGGGAATGTCTACCTGAATAGCAGATGGGAACTTGGTTTAATATCTCATCCAAAGGATGGCACATCAGCATTGCATTGGAGTATCAATTTAGACTAAGTAAGTTTGAACAACAACAACAAAATGACATTCTGACATGAAAGGCGCTTTATAAATGTAGTCTATAAAAGTTTGAAGTCCCTAAATGGGGCTCAACTAACAACCTTCTGATTCAATCCAGTTTATAATAATATAATAATCCTTGCATTTGATACTGCGCCTTATCACGTCCAAAACTTTGTTAAAATAATTTCACCTGAAACAAGAGGGATGAAGGGTGGGGACTGCCAAACTCTGGTTGGAAAAGTTGCAATGTATCAAGCCCACATCTTGTTTTCATTCTTGTCAGTCCATTACTGCATCAGGCACAGATGGATTATGTTTTAACACTCCTTCAATAACAAGCATTTTAAGGTTTTTTTTTGGACATATCTTCTAAATAGTCCGGTAGCTCAGTGGTTAGAGCACTCGCCTCGCAAGCGAGAACCTGTGTTCAATTCCTGGCAGGGCCAAACCTTGCACAAGTTTCTTTACTCCACACACCTGATAATAATCCCTCAAGAAAAAAACCAATAAGAAAATGGTTACTTCATTCCACGACTGTGTGTGGGACACTGCTGAGTGCAATTGGCTGCCACGTTTCACCCACAAATATACAATCAATTCACTTTACAGTATATTCTGTGAAGCGCTTTGAGACATCTAGAAGACGTGAAAACCACTGTTTAAAATGCAAGGATTATTATTTATTATCAATACTGTAATGTCCAAAATGTTAATGCGATGCAGATGTTCATTCTCATTTTCTTCCAGAAGTTTTCCTAGCGATGACCTTTGTGCATTGTTATGGGAGAGATTTGACTTTTAAAATAATGCCAGAGAAAGAAACTGTGTTATGATCTTGCCATGGCACCCACTCGCTGATAAAACAAATCGGACAACTTCATTTGGACATTTTGCTGACAGCATGCAACGTTAACCTCCTACACAGAATACCGGCCTAATGCAGAAGTCATCTGTGGGGACAGATATAATAATAATAATAATAATCCTTGCATTTGATATAGCGCTTTTCACGTCGGGAGGACGTCCCAAAGCGCTTCACAGAATATACTGTAAAGTGAATTGACTGTATATTTGTGGGCGAACGCGGCAGCCAATTGCGCACAGCAATGTCCCACAAACAGTCGTAGATTGAAAATGACCAATTTATTATTGTTTTTTGTTTTTGGAGGGATTATTATTAGGCGTTGACTATTAACAAAGGAAAGACCTGGTGCATTAGGGCAGGATCCCAACAGAATGGCTGCATTTTGCAGTGCAACACCTGTGTCAGCTCTTCCATTCCTCCGGGTAACTACCACAATACTCCGAATGGGTAAGTGATTGACAAATAACACAGAGCTGCACTTTAAAGCCCAGTTGGCAGTCATGCTCACACTGACACATTATGTCTCTGCCCCAGTCACAGATAGCAACACAGCTCTCCTCTGCATTACTTTGGGGGCTGATAAATGGCAGCATCACAAGCACATGTCATGACTCCAGCAACGAGGAATGTTCTCCAAAGAAAGTACTGTATATTCTAAATATAGCCAGTCAGGAAAAGTATCAGGGTTATGATCAAAAGATAATATAAAGGGATTGTGTCAGTAAAAGAGAGAAAAAGATCAAAACATATCGTCATTATTTTCAAATGCAGATAAAAAAGATGTCAGATTTGCATGAAATGTTGCTAACATTTTATTCGTAAATCCAAGTAGAAGAAAAATGATTATTGCAATCCTTTGGACTTATGGGCTGAAAGCTGCAGCTATAGAACAAATAAGATCTGGAATACACAGGTCAGGTTTACCAATGACAAAGTCATTGTTGTCATAGAGAAGAGTTCAGCAAACTCTGACAGTGGGGACCATGTACATGTGACACAAGACAATTGTTCGCGTGACCCTGTGTGCAACTTTTTGATCTTTTGAAAGCTTTATTTCAAAGAAAAATTGGCTAAAAAAAACTACACATTTTAAAAGCTTACATTGCAGGATACACAGCATTTAAGTATGAGCCAAGTGGAGTCCTGTAGCTCAGTGGTTAGAGCACTTGCTTTGCAAGCAAGACACCTGGGTTCAATTCCAGGCAGGGCGAAACCTTGGGCAAGTTTCCTTACTCCACACGCCTAATAATAATCCCTCCAAAAACCCAAAACAATAATAAATTGGTCATTTTCAATCTACGACTGTTTGTGGGACATTGCTGTGCGCAATTGGCTGCCGCGTTCGCCCACAAAATATACAGTCAATTCACTTTACAGTATATTCTGTGAAGCGCTTTGGGACGTCCTCCCGACGTGAAAAGCGCTATATCAAATGCAAGGATTATTATTATTATTATAAGTTCAACTGGCAGCACTCTCGCCTCTGGGTTAAAAGGTTGTAGGTTTAAGCCCCAAGTTGGGAAGTTGAACTCACAGACATTAAACCGAGGTCCCGTATGTGCCCGTTCAGGTGGATAATAAAGATCCCATGGCAATATTCAAAGAGGAGTTTCTCCTGGTGTCCTGGCCATTAATCTCCCAAATAAAATTGGTCATTCACTTCATCGCTGTCTGTGGGACATTGGTGTGCCCAAATTAGTTGCCAAATTTTGGTTACAAAATGCACAGTCACTACACTATTTATTAAAATTGCGTTTAGTGTCTTGAAGGTTCTCCCTTATTTGAAAGGCGCTATATCAAATTTAAACATAGTTTTAATTTTATTTTATTGGGCAGCATAATAGATAATAAATAATAATAATAATTTGGTCACTCAACCCACGACTGTTTGTGGGACACTGCTGCGTTTCACCCACAAAATATACAGTCAATTCACTTTAAAGTATATTTTGCAATGCTCTTTGAGATGTCTCAACGACTTGATAAGGTGCTATACCAAATGCAAGGATTATTATTATTATCCAATTTCGCTTTCCTCAGTGCAAATCTCACAGGAGTTCAATATGAAACCTTCAGAGCAAAATCCAAGCTGAGCCTGGAAGATGTCTGAAAGGTCTACCAGTGCTCTACCCACAATCTGTCCCTAGGAAGTTACTGTTCAATCAGTGCAGTAATTTGTTTTCTTTCTGTTCAGTTTAATTTGGGATAAGTATTTTCAGCTCATTAAGGCCTGGCAGCATCAGGGGAATGGAAGAGTCCCTTTTTAATATTCCCCAATGACAAACTTTGACTGCATCAGTAAATAATAATAATAATAATAATAATAATCCTTGCCTTTGATATAGCGCTTTTCACGTCGGGAGGACGTCCCAAAGCACTTCACAGAACACACTGTAAAGTGAATTGACTGTATATTTGTGGGCGAACGCGGCAGCCAATTGCGCACAGCAGTGTCCCACAAATAGTCGTAGATTGAAAATGACTGATTTATTATTGTTTTTGGTTTTGGAGGGATTATTATTAGGCTCTGTGTGGTGTAAGGAAACTTGCCCAAGGTTTTGCCCTGCCTGGAACTGAACTCACTTGCAAAGCGAGTGCTCTAACCAATGAGCTACAGGACTCCACGAAATCTTCCATCTCTCATACCAACTAACCTAAAGTTCGACTGTCAATTTGGTGCCAATTGTGAAATAATAATAACAATCCTTGCATTTGATATATCACATCTTCGAGACGACCCAAGCGTTTCACACATTATACTGTAAACTGAATTGACTGTATATTTTG